AATGCGTATGAATGACAACGGATGGACAAGAGCCGTTACTAACTGGATTCCTCGGAATGTCAAACGTACTTCTAGAAGACCACCGACCTGATGGTCAGTGCTCTTCACAAAGATCCTTGAAGAAAGATATGATGCTCGAAGAGCCCTTAGAGCGAGAGAACCCACTGGGTTACTCTTGCACCCGATAGAGAAAAGTGGAAGATTTAATGGCGCCCGCTCGAGTCACTCGACGATCAACGGGACTATAGGCGACAGGTGATAGAAACATAAACTTCACTGGTACCTCGAAAATTCTTATATCACGATGTATAAAACAATAAGACTCTTGGCGTTGATCAATCCCTGAGATATACGCCATGTACTTCACATGAACAAGCGCCATTAGAGGTGAATGAGTGCACGTCTGGCCTGCACAATGAATTTCAGTGGCCTAACGGTGTAAAAGGGCGCGTCTGACGTAGTGGTTGGAGGCGCCACTGCAACGCACACGTGTGATGGATCCCGGTTTCCATGGCCCACCAAGCCTTCCAACCCTCCGGGGTCGGCTAATTGGTACCAAATTTGTCTGGGAGGGTAGCAGCACTGGCTCGATACATCGGTTGGCCATTGCGAGTCATTGTAAAGGCCAGATATGCATTCAATCACCTCCAACGATACTTAATGAAGTCGAATACATGGCGCATCCCTAAAGGGATTGGTCAACGCCTAGAGCCACACGCTGCATGGATCCCAACAATTCTTTCATTCGACCCACTATCTTGTATCGACCATCCACGAAAGGGTTCGAATTTCTAGATTTAACTCCTGCTATCGCCTATGTTCTTTCTCGATGTCGTCGAGTCGATTTTCTCTGAGATCTAGCAACAGCGGTTATACAGAGCTCTCATATCTTTATCACAAACAACACCAGTGTTTGAGGATTCGAGGAAACTTCCCGGACAAGTCGGTTCTAATTTACCAGACACGAAGAATGGAGAGACAGCTCAGTTGACTTAGTTGGAGGTCGAACCAGGTACACCATGTGCATTGCAGAATACTTCTAATCAGTGCACCTCCAATGCCTTTTCATGGTGATAGTCATCGTAGTCCATCAATTATCAGAATAGAGGAAAAAATCAAAGGAAATAGGAAATTTGAACGTGGAAAATCAATCAAAAGTTTCAAAAAGATATCCTGATCTTCCTTTGTGCAATGTGTACAGTAACTGGAAAAAAAGCAAATACAACGAAAGAGGCGGTAGTGGCGCATAGGTAGAGCTTCTATTCAATGATAAGGTCTCTGGTTCGGGCCCACTGCAGCCACCCAAGAATCACAGTAGTAATGAAACCCACGCGAAATGTGGTATCGGGTCATATAAAAAGAACGGGAAGAAAAATACCACCATAAAGATATTGAAGTATACTGAACACAAAAACGAGAACGAATTAGAACAGGTCTCAAAAAGTGCGCAACGTACGGTAGCACAAAGTTCGAAACATTTCGCCGCTCACAAGCGAATTGCGCCGCGATTAATTCGTTTCGTGGAATGCGGCGCGAGTTGGACGAGTTTCCGTCCGACCTCTCACTTGTGTTTCTTAAAGTTCGTGCGCCATATAGTTTGATGCGTTTGTTACTTTTGTTACCAAGCTGGATCCTCTCTTGAAAATCTTTGTACCGAATGCATACTACCAGTCATTAAATAAGTGTTGAAATTTCAGTTCACCTTGTAATTTGTCAATAACGCATCTTTTTGATTGCTGTTTTTGCTTATTTTACTCTATAACCACAGTAATTTTTTTCCTTTGTACAAACCGAACTTCTTTGGAAAATCGAGTGGGATCATCAGGTCTCAAGAAGAATACGTTGAAGCGTTAGCTGAATAAAGATTATGTATCAACCTTATGTAAGCTTATCAAAGAAGGAATGTAATAAATCTTGTCTATCGTGGATTACAGNTAAATAAGTGTTGAAATTTCAGTTCACCTTGTAATTTGTCAATAACGCATCTTTTTGATTGCTGTTTTTGTTTATTTTACTCTATAACCACAGTAATTTTTTTCCTTTATACAAACCGAACTTCTTTGGAAAATCGAGTGGGATCATCGGGTCTCAAGAAGAATACGTTGAAGCGTTAGCTGAATAAAGATTATGTATCAACCTTATGTAAGCTTATCAAAGAAGGAATGTAATAAATCTTGTCTATCGTGGATTACAGAGGTAGAGGCATCGCATACCTCATACTTATTCTCATCTCCCTAGGCGTTTTCGCTAAATCTTAATCACTGTACCGTCATGTTTCGTCTTTGTTCAGNGGTCTCAAGAAGAATACGTTGAAGCGTTAGCTGAATAAAGATTATGTATCAACCTTATGTAAGCTTATCAAAGAAGGAATGTAATAAATCTTGCCTATCGTGGATTACAGAGGTAGAGACATCGCATACCTCATACTTGTTCTCATCTCCGTAGGCGTTTTCGCTAAATCTTAATCACTGTACCGTCATGTTTCGTCTTTGTTCAGATCCAGAATGTCGTTATCCAGGACATCACTGACGTCGATGACGAGGCGTGCCATCACAGCTGTGACGGCACGTTCATTGAGCGGTGTTCAAGGTAACTATTTAGTATCGTTTGCTTTTAGTAGCTTTTAGAGCTTTTATCAGTCCGTTTCTTTCTGGTTGGATTGTTTTCTTTCTGACGGTGGTAAGTTTTGAGCTGTTTGCTTATCTTTGCTTGCCTTGTTAAGAAGTGAGAACTCTTTAGAAGCCGACATCGTCGTCATTGGTGCTGGTCCCGGTGGTTACGTAGCTGCAATCAAAGCTGCGCAGCTTGGAATGAAGGTAGGTTGTCCTTTACGTTTTCTCGTTCTTCATCTTCTTTTTCATCTCCTCGTATATAGGTTTTCAATGTTTCCTTTTTATAGACCGTTTGTGTAGAAAAGGAGCCAACTCTCGGAGGAACTTGCTTGAACGTTGGCTGCATCCCATCAAAATCATTGCTGAACAATTCCCATTACTACCACATGACTCATCATGACTTTGCTAACCGAGGTGCTTTCTTCTCTGAGGTTTTTAGTTACGTCAGTGGCCTTTCTCTCCATTCATGATCACTTAGGTATCGAATGTACTGCTACATTGAATCTTACAAAAATGATGGAAGCAAAAGCCAGCAGTGTCAAACAACTCACTGGAGGTTTGGTTTCTTTCTGAAAATGTTCAGAGTCTACTCTTCTTTCTCTGTGCTTGTCTACGTTACTTTTTTGTTTATGACAGCAATGAGTAGCAGTCGTTTTTCAGTATTAACATGTTGCGTTTGTCCTTTCAAATAGGGAACCTTTAGCCACACTAGTTCAGGGTAGTTTTCCCGCGAGTTTTGCATGATCGATTTGATTTCACTTCGTTCCTTTGTATGACTTCTCTTCACACGTCCTTGTTTCTGCTTTTAGAATCCTTGTTCATTTCGTGTTTTTAGGAATTGTACAACTGTTCAAGGCAAATAAGGTTGGACATATTGAAGGTGTTGGAAGCATCACTGGACCGAACCAGGTATATTGTATAAACCGTGATTTTTCTTGTTGTTTGAAAAGTAGCTCATCTGGATTTCATCCTTTTTGGCTTATTCGCGCGAAACTTTTTGGTTAGCGCTTGCATCAGGGTGAAGTTTTTATTTCTACATTTGTTTTCCATTCACCTTGGCTCCTTATTTTCTTGAACGTATTGTTATCGAAGAACTTTTTGGTCTATATCTTGAGAAATTGTGAATGTTAATCGATTTTGTATGACGGCGTTTTCTGCATCTAGTTTTTGAAGACAGGCGATGCCGATTTCTTACTGCGCTTTTTTAAATTTCGTGTGTTTATTGAGGTTGGAACCACTTCTAGGTTCAAGTGCGAAAGAATGACGGTTCGATAGAGACAGTGAACACCAAGAATATCCTTATAGCCACCGGTTCAGAAGTTACACCATTTCCTGGGATCTTAATTGATGAAGAAAAGGTAGCTGAGTATGATATGTAGCATATCATTTTTGGTAAATGAAAATGCTTTAGATTATTTCATCAACTGGTGCACTCTCTTTGAAAGCGGTGCCTAAGAAAATGGTGGTAATAGGAGCAGGTGTTATTGGACTTGAGTTGGTTAGTTTGTTATAGAAGCATTTACCTCGAAGATGAAATACTGTGATTAAGCAGTACGTATAAAATTATACCGAAACCATTTGCGATGGTACATGAGTTATAAAACCTGGGAACGATAGTGCTAAATTTGTACTATAATCCTGTTGAAACTGTTTTAGTAAGAAGAAAATGGTAGGGTACGCATGGTGCAGTAGTCAGAGGCGCCCTGCAATATACATGGAGCCAATTCACGCGCCAAAGACTCACCAAGCCTTCCATCCCTCGGGGTCGGCAAATTGGTACTAGATAGAAAAATAGAAAATCGGTCGTGGGAATTGCTGCCAGACTTGTCTGGGAAGATAGCAGCATTGGCTTAATGCATCGGTAGGCCACTGCTAGTCATTGTACAGGCCAGATATGCAATCGATTGTCTAAAACGATAACTTTTGAAGTCAAAAGCTTGACTCATCTCTCAGAGATTGATCAGTATCAAGAGTTTTATCCTTTTGATTAAGAAAGTGGTTGTCTTCGTTGAGTTCTTTACGTTAGCGCACTTTAGATTATTTTA